TATTTATATGCCCTCCGTTTCTCTATCAGGTAGGTGTAGAAGTCAGGACACTCAACCGGAGGTAGCGTTAACGTTAATCCTGTCAGATCGTCCAGCGTGTAGGCTACAGTACGGGTCGGCCAATCTGGTTCTGTCCGTTAAAATTAACTTTTGCAAATAACAATCGCGGTCCTGGACAGTGAGTGGCCTTGCACATTAAGATAAAATCGGATTTTCTCCAGTCATTGTTAAAAACAAGCTAACAAAACTTGCAGACTTTACGTTAGTGAAGCGGCCAGAGGGATCGTTCTGCCACCACCTAAGCTCCTCCCACATAAAAACGTCACCATGTTTACCAACTGAAAATTGGTCTATAGTGCTTTCACATATGCTGCTGCGTTTGCAGTGCGAAACACATTTACTCACTATTTGTATTTAAAAAAATCATCAATCAAATCAAGTCATCAGCAACTTTTATTTAAAAAAAGTTTTTGCCTCCAGTGCGATACTCGTTGATAAGCTACTACACATACACTCTTTAATAGACGTATTCACGTTTAAACACATTTTAAACAACGTATTATTCAATGCATTACTTTTATATAGATTATATATTAAGTTGCTCAAGCAAGTGGTAACATATTTAACCATGTACTTATATTAAAATCGCAAACATTTTAAATTAAAACTTAAAATTGTCAAAAACAGCAGACTCATACCTTTTCTTTTGCATAATTTAAATCTTTATACAATAAATCTTGCATGTCACAAGTAACTTGTTTTTCCACCTCAACGAATGAGACGAGTGTCGTTCATTATGTGGCCTTGAAGTAAATTCTTGCTTTACCCCGGTCTTAAAGGAACACTCCGACTTTTTGGGACTTTAGCCTATTCACCTTATCCCCCAGAGTTAGATAAGTCCATACATACCTTTTTCATCTCCGTGCGTGCTATAAGTCTGTTTGACGCACCCACCGCTAGCCTAGCTTAGCACAAAGACTGGATGTAAATGGTTGCAGCTAGCATACTAATCCAAATAAGTGACAAAATAGCGCAAACATTTTCCTATTTACATGTTGGGATTTGTATAGTCACAGAGTGTACAAAAAACTACGTCACATGAGACAGACATATTTTAACAGTATAAATACTGGGAACTATATTCTCTGAAGGCGAAGCACTGCTACTTGGGCGGAGTAATAACCGCAGCACCTGAGACGAGCCGTGGTGAGGAGCAGAGAGTTCGTTCAGAGTTTGGGTACGGTACGTCTCAGGTGCTGCGGTTATCACTCCGCCCAAGTAGCAGTGCTTCGCCTTCAGAGAATATAGTTCCCAGTATTTATACTGTTAAAATATGTCTGTGTCTCATGTGACGTAGTTTTTTGTACACTCTGTGACTATACAAATCACAACATGTAAATAGGAAAATGTTTGCGTTATTTTGTCACTTATTTGGATTAGTATGCTAGCTGCAACCATTTACATCCAGTCTTTGTGCTAAGCTAGGCTAGCGGTGGGTGCGTCAAACAGACTTATAGCACGCACGGAGATGAAAAAGGTATGTATGGACTTATCTAACTCTGGGGGATAAGGTGAATAGGCTAAAGTCCCAAAAAGTCGGAGTGTTCCTTTAAAGTAAAAAGATGACTATGAAAAATAGTAGTATTTAATTTAATGCATTTATGGTTACATTTTATTTAATTAAATACATTTATGATGAGATTACTACATTTTATTGAATTAAATGCATTTATGGTGAAATTAACCTACTACATTCAGGTCAGTCTGCGTCATTTTGACCACGAACCGCGTGCTGTCACTTTAATTCAGCGTTTGCAGCACAGCAAAAATAAGGCTTGTTTGAGATGCGCCTTGCCTCGCCTGAAATGTAGTCGAGAGTAGGCGGCTGCAGTGAGAGGAGGAGTGAAAAAAGCGCAGGCAAGCCGGACAGATCGCTCTTCTCGCAGTGGATCTGACACCTGTGAGATCAAAGGCGGATATCGCGGGATTCACGGGATTCACACTCGTGCACGGTGTTGCTAATAAACTGGATGTATTTTAAGTTTTGTTGCTTGAATATGAAAATAAATATAATGAACAAGACACTCAAAGTACTTATTTAATTCCATTTTAAATAGGCCTATATGTTTATGAATCATTTTTTTTCTTTACAGATATGTGTTTTTTTTTTAATTAAAAAAAAAAAATTACATCAAATAGATCGCACTGTCTGAGAGTTTGGGGATATCCACACATAATCTATACACATAAAACATGATATCAGAGTTTTAAAATCAAACATTTTAAAAGAGAACAATACATCACGGTTGTTTAAACCAATGAGCATTAAGCTGTGTCGTCAGCAAGTCGTTTCCCATCATGCTTTTGATCAGCGCAGTCGGTGGAGAGCAACTGCGCGCGACTGCAGAATCCGACACGTGCGCCTTGCGGTCGCGAGACCTTTTTGACTCACGTCAGCATGACATCAGAGCAAGGCGGACCGCACTCGGACACATTTCTAACCGGCATGCATCCCGCGCTGATCACCGGTGATCGGTTCTGCGCAGATTTTGCTCATCTCAAACAAGCCTAGTGACTCGGTGCGGAAACGATCTCTGCACTGCTGTATACGCACCGCAACTGGAACGGATCGACGGACTGCATCCGCGTGCAGTGTGAAAGCTCTAACCACATGGGTACGGAAAAAAATACGCACCGCATACGCACTGCAAACGGAGTATGTGTGAAACGGGCGTCAGTCTGTTAGTCACTAATTTAGTTCACCTGTGTTTCATTTAGCTCCCTTTGTTTGCCTGTGTATAACACTCAGTTTGTTCAGTTCTTTGTTTTGCTTTGCACCATGTGTTCTCCAGTGTAGATTATCTCCATTGTTTTGTGTTTATTAAAAGAAGTACTGCTATAGATTCCTCTCCTCTTCATTTGGTGACTCAACTGTGACACATTAATTAGTTAGCTTATATTTCCACTTGAAGTTCATGCTTGACACCACTTCTTATAGCAGATATTCATCTCACATAAGTGAATATCTGACAGTTCTTCTTTTTAAGAAACCATTTCTACAGGCTCTGACCCAAACCTGACAAATATTTCACATGCAATTGGACTGTTATTTAATTGTCTTTGAAGGCAGAAGTAAAAATGTCTGGGGGACTGGTTCTTATATGGCATTGATGTTAAAATCCCTGTTTAGTAGCTAAACAACTGAGAATGAGTAAACACGCTTCAACAATTTTCATAATATTTATTTATTTATTTACATTTTTCTTTGGTCAACCATATTTTAGGGACAGATTTGTACCCAGAAATAAACTAAACCTGAAAAAAAATCCCCAAACCTATTTTCACTGACATTCGTAGAAAAATAAGGTGTGAAAGGACAAATAAACTCTAAAAAAATACAAGCCACCGTATGCTATAGATTGCGATGTGTGGCAGTGTTTTATGCTTCTTAAACCAACTGCTCAAAGGTTTCTACTGTAAATGTGACTGTTTATTTTAGACTTTGCTAATTTATGAGATCTTGAGTAATTTCTTTCTTTTTGTACAATCTTATTTATTTATTCAGGACAGTGCACATTAATGAACAATCTTACACTCGTGTAGAGACTGTAAATTAGCCAGATTATAGCATAAATGCTAATTTTCATTTTAAGAGAAGAGCTGACTTTTTAATTTTTTTAATTCATTGATTCATTTATCAGCCTATCTGCCAAGTTATTTCCATAGCTATGCAATTGTTTGCTATACACATATACACACTTTTTACAACTTACTGTCTACAACTGTCTTACACACACACACACACACACACACACACACACACACACACACACACACACACACACACACACACACACACACACACACACACACACACACAGTTTACTTAGCTATTTAAATAGGGAGATTGCATCGAATTGTATTGTATATATTATATACATACACATATGTCTATATGGAGATGTCATGCCAATCTAGTGGACCAATGGTTATGCCCTAATTTACACTGCAACATTTGGAAAACCAAGCACAGAACGTGGACAGAAGAGTGAACAGAAAAAGTGTACAAAAACAAATATGAGCAGGAAATGTAAGAGAGCACAAAATACTAAAACCAAGGAAATCGTAATGTTGTGTGATTCAGATTATTTTGCATTAATGTTTAAGTTTTGTGCAATATAATCTTTAATGTGTTAACATTTTTGATAAATGTTATTCTTTTTAAATGCACTTTTATTTTTTGATTCACGCTTTTTTTTTTTTTTTGATCTGTGGGAAACTTTGTTTGCTATTCTTTTTTTGTGACCACAATACTTTTGACGGGAAATGAATCCCATACACATTCTTAAATTACATATTTCATACAGAATAGTTTTTCTTTAGTTTTGTTATATTACAATTAATTTTCAATGCTGTTGAAACTGTTTATTCATGTGTTTCTCTGTTAAACCTGTCACTAAAATGTTCCATATTTGAATTAAATATCAAAAGAAGTTATATTTTGCATAAAGAAAGCCTTAACTGTAAAGCATTTATACACATAATGGTAATATTTTTGTACTGCTTTTATTTTATTTTTTAATTATAACTTCAGAAAAGTAGTAGCCTATCATCTTCAGATTGGTGTTTCTATATGACTGGATTTTTTTTCTTCTTATGGTAGATTTAATTTAATTGGTTTATTTAAAATATTTAATTTAACCAAGCAAATATGGGAGTTTGTAATATAGGCTACCTTGTAACAGACTGTAAACAGAGAAAGAATGTTTCTTTAATTTGTAGATATGTGCTACCATATTTTGGATAAGAAGTGCAATTCTATTTAGATGCAGTGGAAGGACTGTCATTTAATGTTTTGGAAACCTTTGGTGTCATTTCTTGTTAATTTTGGCAGTAAAATAGAGGATGTGTGTTTTACTACAGTATGCGATTTATGGGTGACTTTTACTTTGTTAATCCGCAATACTGATTCTTCTTACGTCAACAAACAGTGAAGTTTGACACAATAAACTTTGCAAAACACAGATTGAAAGTGCTTTCAGCATTTTTCCGAAATTATGGCTTTAACTTTAGGGAGAATGTCAGTTGATAATGGATTTAGGAGGGTAATCCACCACACGTGTTTCAACTCAGTGAAAAGACAAAGACTTTATAGCACCGGTTTAAAAGAAGAGAGAAACAGCGGTAACTCAGGTAAGGTGTTCCGAGTTTCCGTTTCTTAACAGTAGAGGTCAGTATAAACTTAAGTAAATTACACTTTACACTTGAAGTTGTTTTACAAAACTCATTCTGTTCTGTCATGCCAGTCTGGCAGAGATTTTGAGATGCCAGCCTTGGTGTGTGTAGAAAGACAGACTGAATTTGGAATAGTATAAGTTACTAAAAGCCACTTAAGAAGTAACGTTAACTTAGGCCTTGTTGTTGTAATGATATTCCGATTGCGCTAAATGTTTGTTAAAACGAATATCACCTGTTACAAAATTGCCTGTGACTGCTCTAGGCCACTCTATTCTTGTGGAAGACCACATATCTCACTTCAAAGTGAGTATATATCATGTTGAAGATTAGCTGACAGGAAATTTTGTATCCTCTAAAATTGCTCTAATGGCTGCCTGCTCCTCACCGTATTGGCCTTCCTCAGTCCACAACATTTCATTCATCACCTCAATGCATTGACTTCCATTATTTTATTTTACCTAGTAAATGAAAACCTTGTGGAATACCTTTACACGTTGTTATCACTTTTTTTTTTTTCTGTGACCAGTGAGTTGGACTTCAGCAACAATGGGTGATCTTTATATCGTAGTTTATTTTTAACAGAAATCCAGTTTTACACATAATGTCAGTGATGTTACTGAGTTCTCTTACGAGAGGTTCTCTCGTATTGCGTAAGCTAGCTTACGCTACGGGAAAGATTCATCTTTTCTGAGAAATTAAAGCCAAAAATTATCCTATAATTTTGTATCTATTCACAACGCAGTTCAGCTGCAGCAGAGCATGAGCAGGTTAGCTAGCAGCTCATTGGCTCGCTCACAGGGAACTGCTTAAGCCTATGAGGAGACACGAATGAACTCTCGGCCAATGAGAGTCTGACCTGCTCTCATTGCGTCAGAGCCCGCCGAAACGGGCGTGGCCAGAGAGTATAAATTCGCCTCTCAGGCTGTAAATTCAGATTTTTCATATCTTCAGCGAGGCTACACGCATCTGCTGATCCTGAGAGAAGCCGCCGTCGTGGAAAAGGCACCTTCTAGCGAGCATCTGGGAGTCTGAGGAAGCCGGCCGTCTTCGCCACCTTCAGCCGTCCTGCAAGCTAGCGCCATCCGACGGATTCATATCCTTTACCAAAAAGCTTCTTGTATTGTGTGTGTGTATCTAAAAGAGCAGCGAGCGTCTTTTTTAAGATGCCTCGCACACCTGCGGCTCATGCCGCGTCCCTCTCAGCGCCAGAGCCCGCCTTCTTCTGCGCTCTCTGCCTGGGACTGGGACACGCAGAGCTTTCTCTCGCCAACGGCGGATGTTTCCTCTGCGATTGGGCTTCTGTTGTTGACCCTGCGGGCTCGACTCGAAGCGTTACGCCGCCTCCCCCTCTCACCGCCTACGAGCGCTGAATGGGGGACGAGCCGCTTACAGCTGTGCCAACAGCGGCTAGCTTTCTTTACTTTACAAGAGAGCTAGCCCGGCCCCATGCATACGCGTCACCGGCAAGTGGGTTTATAGTGCGTTAAGTTCCGTCGAGGCCGAACTAGTCGCTGCCGCTCTCCCGCCTGCATATAACGCCGCTACATAAAGCGTTTATAGTGTATCAGTTCCGCTGAGGCCGAACCTGTTTCTGCTATCACGCCCTCTTATCTGCTCGCGCTGTTATGTTTGTGTCTTTACCCCTGGCTCAGTGGTGGAACACAAAGCTTTTCGCGCCAGAGATCCGTGTTCGATTCCGGCTCTCGCAGATAATCTTTATGCAGCTCTGAGCTCGCGCCCAGCTCTCTTACGTGACAGAAAGCGGCCGCGCTCTCCCGCGCTCATGAGAAACGTTCTCATTTCCGAGCATAAAGCTGGACAAATGGGTTATAGTGTGTTAGTTCCGCTGAGGCCGAACCTGTTACTGCTATCACGCCCTCTTATCTGCTCGCGCTACTGTGCTTGTGTCATTACCCCTGTGGCTCAGTGGTGTATCACAAAGCTTTTCGCGCCAGAGACCCGCGTTCGATTCCGGCTCTCGCAGATAATTTTTATGCCGTCACAAGTCCAGCCTCTGCAGGCTAAAAATAGTCTCGTGCCCGCTTGCAGCGTTCACGTTTCTAACACGCACTTGCACGCGACGCGCGTCACAAGTGCAGCCGATTTCAGGCTATATATATATCCCGCTGCAGGCCGCTCACGTGACCAGCCTCAGCTGAGAAAAGGACGGCTATTTCTCACCATGGCTGAACCGCCATCAAGGTTTCGCCCTCTGTCAGTCCCCGTTCACACGGCTACTGCAGCAGTGTACACCGCCATCAACAAGCCGGTCTCTTTTCCCGCTTGCATGTGCACAAACGCCGTTTTCCCGCGTACCAGAGAAAAAAAAAAAAAAAAAAAAAAGTGCATAAAAGCCTCTTGTGTAGAAAATGTGCCCACAACACTGTGTTCACTCATACACAAAACACTGCATGTGCACAAACACCGTTTTCACGGCGACCCAGAGATATCTCAAAAAGAGCATAAAAACCTATTGTGTAGAAAATGTGCCCACAACACTGTGTTCACTCATACACAAAGCACTGCATGTGCACAAACACCGTTTTCACGGCGACCCAGAGATATCTCAAAAAGAGCATAAAAGCCTCACGTGTAGAAAATGTGCCCACAACACTGTGTTCACTCATACACAAAAGCTTTTCAGTTCCCGTGTGTCTCACAGAGCCCACTCTCATAAAGCGGTTCCAACCCGCTCGAGTTTCAGAGTGCATAAGCGCGCCCACGAGCCCGTGTGCGCGTCCCACCTCTGCTCACTCTGTTACACGGCCCTTAAACTCCTCTCTGAGTGTAAGTCCCGCTGTCATAAACACTATGAGCGCGCCCGCGCGGCCCGCTGTGTGCAGCAACGGGGACCATGTAGCCATTCACCCCTTAGCGTTACGCTTCAAGCGTGGGAAGCTATTCCGGGAATTTCCCAGTGGGTGCTAAACACAATAAGGCTAGGCTATCGCTTACAGTTCCACCGCCGCCCTCCAGGTTTCCGAGCGCGGCTAGAAACTATTGTGAACCCAGAAGCAGTGACTCTGCTCCGTTCAGAGGTAGCAAAACTATTGTGCAAAAGGGCTATAGAGAGAGTTCCTCTATCTATGAGCGAGTCGGGGTTTTACGGCCGTTATTTTCTGGTTCCAAAGAAAGACGGCGGCCTCAGACCGATCTTAGACCTCAGATTTCTGAACAGAGTTCTCATGAAGAGACCGTTCAAAATGCTCACTATCAGAAAACTCCTCGCGCATGTGCGCCAGGGGGACTGGTTCATTTCACTAGATCTGAAAGATGCCTACTTTCAGATTCAGATGAATCCCCTTCACAGGCCATTCGTACGTTTCGCCTTCGAAGGCCAGGTTTATCAATACACCGTCCTCCCGTTCGGCCTATCCCTAGCACCCCGCACGTTTACGAGGTGCATGGATGCGGCGCTCGCCCCCCTGCGGAGTCAGGGGCTGCGAATACTGAACTATTTGGACGACTGGCTGATTTTGGCACAATCACAGAGGGAGCTACTGTCTCATCGTACAGTTCTCCTCGACCATCTGAAAAGTTTGGGCCTCTCTGTCAACTGGACAAAGAGCGCACTTCAACCCAGTCAGACTATCTCCTTCTTGGGTATAGAGCTAGACTCGGTCTCAATGACGGCTCGTCTGTCTACACAGCGCGCGCGCCGTGTGCAGCGTCTCGCCGCATCTTTTCAGATGAACAGACTCACACCTCTGAAAACTTTTCAGAAGGCGCTGGGTTACATGGCCTCAGCCTCCGCAGTGCTCCAGCTGGGGTTACTGCGCATGCGCCCGCTTCAGTTCTGGTTGAAGAGCCGTGTGTCTCACCGCGCGTGGACCACGGGCCGCCAGCTGATAAAGGTAACGCAGACCTGTATCACAGCTCTGCAGCCATGGACCATGACAGAATGGTTTCAGCGGGGCGTTTCCTTGGGGACCTTTTCTCGCCGAAAAGTCATTTTCGACAGACGCATCCAACATGGGTTGGGGTGCGGCCTGCGAGGGCTCACCGGCCTTCGGCCCCTGGTCAGCTCAGGAGAGTCTCCTCCACATAAACTGTTTGGAGATGCTGGCGGTCGAGAACGCGCTCACGCGCTTTCTGCCGCGCATTCACGGTCACCATGTGCTGATCCGTTCGGACAATATGGCTGTGGTCTCCTATCTAAAACCGTCAGGGCGGCGTCAGATCCAGAATTCTCTTCCGGCTGACAGAACGCATCCTAGTTTGGTCCCAGTGTCACCTGCTCTCGCTCAGAGCGACGCACGTGCCGGGCCATCTGAACGACGGTCCAGACAGTCTGTCCAGGAACCCCATTCCCCCTGGCGAATGGTCCCTGCACACTCTTACAGTCCAAAAGCTGTGGCGAATATTCGGCAGAGCAGAGGTGGACCTCTTCGCCTCAGAAGAAAACACCCACTGCCCAATATTTTTCTCAAAACGCGAGGACGCGCTAGCCCAGACCTGGCCCAGCCGCCTGCTTTATGCATTCCCTCCGGTGTCTCTGCTACCACAGGTGCTTCAGAGAATCAGGGAAACACGCCACTCGGTGCTCCTCATAGCCCCGCGTGGGGAAGGTCAGACTTGGTTTCAGGAGCTCACTCAGCTGTCACAGACAGCCCCGTGGCCCATTCCAGTCAGAACAGATCTCCTCTCCCAAGCTCGCGGCACGATCTGGCATCCCAACCCAGAGCGCTGGGCGCTTCATGCGTGGGTGATCAACGACTACCCGTTGCTTTGCCAGAAGGAGTGTTAAACACGATCATGCAGGCTAGAGCGGCTTCTACTAGAAGGCTCTATGCGTCTAAATGGTCTGTGTTCTCTAAGTGGTGCACCGACAGAAACTTGGACCCACGGTCATGCGAGGTTCCTTCCTTGCTAGTTTTTCTCCAAGAGATGCTGGATAAGGGCAGGTCCCCTTCCACTCTCAAGGTGTATGTGGCAGCCGTCGCAGCGTTTGCTGAACCCAGGCGTGGCCAGTCACTGGGCAAAGATGGCTTAGTCATCCGCTTCCTCAGGGGAGCTAGAAGGATGAACCCCTCACGCCCCCCGTCGGTGCCGATTTGGGACCTTTCCATAGTTCTCGAAGCTATGAAAGCCCCCCCATTCGAACCGTTAAACACCGTGGAGCTCAAATACCTTTCGCTCAAGACTATCTTCCTGCGCGCTCGCGTCAGTGAAGCGTGTGGGGGACCTTCACGTGCTGTCCAGCAGCGCTTCCTGTCTGGAGTTTGGGCCCAATGACTCCTTAGTCGTTCTCAAACCTAGACATGGTTATGTCCCAAAAGCGATTGGTACCCCATTCAGGGCACAAGTTATTTCTCTATCGGCTCTGCCTGCATCCAATAGCGAATCTGACTCTAATCTCCTGTGTCCGGTCAGGACCCTGAGATTATACTTTACTCGCACTGCTCCGGTCAGACGAGCTGAGCAGCTTTTTGTTTCGTTCGGTGGGCGCACCAAGGGGTTGGCCACCTCGAAACAGACTCTGTCCAGATGGATAGTTGATCCCATTGCAGCCGCATACGCGTCAAAAGACCTGCCGTGCCCTCTGGGCATCAGGGCCCATTCCACTAGAGGCATGGCCTCATCGTGGGCTTGGTCCAGCGGAATTTCCATTCATGATATTTGTGTGGCAGCGGGATGGGCTTCCCCCTCCACCTTTATCAGATTTTACTATCTGGAAGTTCCCGCCTTGCAGGCTAAACTACTAGCAGTCTAGTATGTTACAGCTCTTCTGGTTGAGCTGCACTATAGGGAGTTATTCACGCAGACCGGTCTCGTTCTGTCCTTCCTTATTATGTGCTTATGTACTTCACAAATCCCCGGCCCGCTCCGCTGGCCTTTGTCACATGTACATATTTTATTCCCACTCATAAGGGTTCCCCGGGGTCCCCCCTGGGACTCATAGTGGATGCTTAGCACGCACGGCGTTGACCAGGTGTTCCCGTAGCGTAAGCTAGCTTACGCAATACGAGAGAACCTCTCGTAAGAGAACGAATCGGTTACCTAACGTAACCTCGGTTCTCTCTAGATGAGGGAACGAGTATTGCGTTCCTGGCCGTGCTTGTGCTACTAGCGTTCTCGTTTCATTCTATGAAAACCAGAATTTACAGCCTGAGAGGCGAATTTATACTCTCTGGCCACGCCCGTTTCGGCGGGCTCTGACGCAATGAGAGCAGGTCAGACTCTCATTGGCCGAGAGTTCATTCGTGTCTCCTCATAGGCTTAAGCAGTTCCCTGTGAGCGAGCCAATGAGCTGCTAGCTAGCCTGCTCATGCTCTGCTGCAGCTGAACTGCGTTGTGAATAGATACAAAATTATAAGATAATTTTTGGCTTCAATTTCTCAGAAAAGATGAATCTTTCCCGTAGCGTAAGCTAGCTTACGCAATACTCGTTCCCTCATCTAGAGAGAACCGAGGTTACGTTAGGTAACCGATTCGTTTGCTGTGCATGTGGTTAGAAACTAAAGATTATGTAGATTAGCTGTCCAGAAACATTACGACCTAGTTTGATATAATGCTGCTTATTAACATATTTATAAAATATGTAATGTTAGGCCTATTAAATATTTAGCAAGTAGAATTCTTAAAACACGGTGTATAATATTGATTCATAGAATATTGAAATTGTAAAATAATATAACCACCACTTAAAATGTTTAGTATTTCTGAATGTACTTTGACTTTGTTCTGTTTGTTGTTCTGTATTGAAATTCAGTAAAAAGTGCAATGTCATGTCTGCACACATTCAGTTTAGATAGGGTGTGAGATTTATTTGTTTGTTTATTTTACTATATCCGTGGGTAGATGTATAAATAAATCAAGTCATTATCTATGAGAGCATAGTTGTGGATAGTTATGGGAAAAAAAACTTTTCTCTTGTAGGGTCTCTTGTAAGCAGTTTTGTGGCACAGTCTATATGTTGGCCCTAAAAAGCATTTGTACACAGAAAATATGTGAATGTCATTGCATACACATCACAAAAGAACATTTCTTAGGTTTTAAAATTATAAAATGGTAGACATTTAAAATAAATTAAACATATTTTAATATTTTGTGATCTAATATCTTAAGTCTCCAAATGAGGCCATGCATGGCACACATTTTTTTTAATGTAATCTTTTATTGTTTTAAAAACTCTATCTACTTTATGTACCTGCAGACAGATTCATCTGCTCAAATGTTCATGTGTTTCCTCCCGTGATTATGGCAGGTACAGGTTGGACGGTGGTTTCTGAAAGGAGGGGTGCGGTGATGGTCATTGGGATTAACCGGCTTACTCCGTTGCTCCGGCGAATTACTTCATTAATCCTTGTTTTATTGCTTTACCAGGCATTTATAAGCAAGCACTTTTTATTTTTATATCATGTGAACTTATCCACGAAACTATTCCTTATAAAAAACAATTAGATTGCTTTGATATCGCTACTTATATCCAACCTTTCGATTCTCGGCTACTAGCCTTTAGCCCGCTAACATTTCACGCGTGGCCTCGGCCGTCTAATATTACATCCTTTCACTGAAAGGACACGAGTTATATTTGACATTGCAGTCCTAAATTAGTACTGATAGTTGTAGTATCACTGCTAATTTACAGCTCATTTGTTATAATGGCGAACATATCGGATGCGTGTCTAACTTTACCTCTGAGTGCAGGTGAGGACACTTTCGAGCTATTCTCGGTGAATCTGGAGCTGGAATCCGTGGAGAAACAGATCCGTGGTCTGCTGGAAAAGCAAGCCGAGCTGTTGGATCGGCGATCAGCACTTGAAGCAGCACGCGCCGATGCTCACAAGTTAGTGGTTAGTAACTCTTTAACTCCGAGTTCGTCTACTCCGTGTGTTTCTCTGTCCAGAAGGACGCGATCATCTCGGGCTTCATTTACTCCGGCACCGACACAACACAATGGACCATGGATCACGCAGCGGAAGACGCGAGCCAGGACCAGAGCTACTCCTCCGCCCCTCCCGGTCTTCGAGATCTCCACTCGGAACCGCTTCTCCCCTCTTCGCGAGTCGAAACGCGACGACGCCGTGATCATCGGCACGTCCATGGTCCGCCATGTCCGTGCTACCTCAGGTAAAGGTAAGGTGCGCTCTCACTGCTTTCCTGGTGCTCGTGTTCTTGATATCGCTGCACAGGTTCCCGAAATCCTGACCGGGGACGAGCGCGTCGGAGCTGTGGTGCTGCATGCGGGAGGGAGCGACGTCAGGCTGCGGCAGACGGAGGTTCTGAAGAAGGACTACATGAGCCTGATCGAGGCGGTACGCAACACAGCGCCTGAGGCAACGATCATCGTGTCTGGACCGCTTCCCACGTACCGACTAGGACAAGAAAGGTTCAGTAGACTATTTGCACTAAATGAATGGTTAATGTCACTGTGTAATGAACAGAAACTGCTCTTTGTAAATAATTGGAATCTGTTTTGGGAGCGACCCAGGCTGTACCGTGCTGATGGCCTGCACCCCAGCAGAGCCGGAGCGGCTGTTCTGTCGGATAATATCTCCAAGACGTTACGCACCAGATGACTAATAAGTCAAAATCCAAATCACAGTCTTTGCTGTCCAAACTTAATTGATATACGTAGTGAAGAACATTATATAGAAACTGTGTCTATTCCTCGTTTAGTGAAGCCAAACAATAAATCTAGTGCAGGATCTAGCAAAAATCTTATTGTAATTAAACCAGAAAATCTAAATATCAGTGAACAAAAAGAATTTCTAAAGCTAGGTCTTCTAAACATTAGATCGCTCACACCTAAAGCGGTTATTGTAAATGAAATGGTCACAGATAATAATTTCGATATACTTTGCCTTACTGAAACCTGGCTTAAACCAAATGAGTATTTCGGTCTAAATGAGTCTACTCCGCCAAGATACTGTTATAAGCATGAGCCCCGTCTGACTGGTCGTGGCGGCGGTGTTGCAACAATCTATAAAGATATTCTTAATATTTCTCAGAAAATAGGTCACAGATTTAATTCGTTTGAAGTACTTATGCTAAATGTTACGCTCTTAGATGTAAGAAAGAAATCCATATTATCTCTAGCCTTGGCTACTGTATATAGACCTCCAGGGCCATATGCTGAATTTCTAAAAGAGTTTGCAGACTTTCTCTCGGATCTATTGGTCAATGTCGATAAAGCAATAATTGTTGGAGATTTTAACATACACGTAGACAACAAAAATGATGCCTTAGGGGCTGCGTTTACAGATTTATTAAACTCCTTTGGGGTCAAGCAAAACGTCCGTGGTCCCACTCATCGTCTAAATCATACACTAGATTTAATTATATCATATGGAACCAATCCAACTGAAATAGATATTATACCGCAAAGTGATGATGTCACTGATCATTACATGGTAACGTGCATAATACGTACTGCTGAAATATGTCATGTTGCGCCACGTTATAGACCAGGCAGAACAATCCTTCCAACCACTATAGATAGATTCTCAAATAGCTTACCTGATCTATCTCAGCTGCTCAGTGAACCCAAACTAACAGATGAACTAGAGGAAATGACTAGCAGTTTGAGCACCATTTTCACTAGTACATTAGATATTGTTGCACCAATTAGATTAAAAAAGGTTAAAGAGAAAACTAAAGCACCATGGTACAACAGTGTTACGCATGATATCAAGAGAGAAACTCGTAACCTAGAGCGTAAATGGAAACAAACTAATTTAGAGGTCTTTAGAATCGCGTGGAAAGACAGTGTGTCACGTTATAAAAAGGCTCTAAAAACAGCCAGGGCTGAGCACCTCCGCAAACTAATAGAAAATAACCAAAATAATCCAAGGTTCTTATTTAACACCGTGGCTAGACTAACAAATAAACAGACATCACCAGAGCAAAATATACCGTTACAGTTTAGTAGTAATGATTTTATGAATTATTTCAATGAGAAAATAGAAAGCATTCGAAACACAATTATAAATGTACAATCCTCTATGGTCTCTTATGATTCAGCCTCAATTATCGTCCCTCAAGAACAACTACACCGCTTTGCAACGATAGGACAGGAAGAGCTAAATAAACTTATTATTGCATCTAAACCAACAACATGCTCATTAGATCCAATACCCACTAAACTACTGAAAGAAGTGTTACCTGTAGTGGAAGAGCCTCTTCTTAATATTATTAACTCGTCTTTATTCTTAGGTCATGTTCCAAGAATATTCAAGTTGGCAGTAATAAAACCTCTCATTAAGAAACCGCAACTAGATCCAAATAACCTAGCAAATTACAGACCCATTTCAAATCTTCCATTTATGTCCAAAATACTAGAAAAAGTTGTATCCGCTCAACTGTGCTCTTTTTTGCAAGAAAATGATATCTATGAAAAATTCCAGTCAGGATTCAGACCGCATCATAGTACAGAAACTGCGCTAGTTAAAATTACAAATGATCTACTCTTAGCTTCTGACCAAGGCTGTATCTCAATACTAGTCCTACTTGATCTTAGCGCCGCGTTCGACACTATAGATCATAAAATACTCTTGGATCGACTACAAAACTACACTGGTGTTCAGGGACAGGCATTAAGCTGGTTTAGATCGTACTTATCTGACCGTTATCATTTTGTCTCTTTACACGGGGGAAAATCGAAGATAACGTCAGTAGACTACGGAGTACCGCAAGGATCGGTGTTAGGCCCTCTGCTATTCTCAATATATATGCTGCCACTTGGTAATATTATAAGAAAACATGGAATTAATTTCCACTGTTATGCTGACGACACTCAATTATATATTTCATCACGACCAGATGAAAACATTACCTCATCTAAATTGACAGAATGTCTCAAAGATATAAAATGCTGGATGACGCGTAATTTCCTGCTATTAAATTCAGATAAAACGGAGGTATTACTTATTGGTCCAAAAAACTACACACAAAACCTCTTACAATACGACTTTAATATAGAAGGATGCCCTGTTACTTTTTCCACTACAGTAAAAGACCTGGGTGTTATACTAGACCGCAACTTGTCTTTCGAAAATCATATTTCATGTGTTACAAGAACAGCCTTTTTCCACCTTAGAAACATTGCTAAATTACGTAACATGCTATCTGTTTCTGATGCAGAAAAGTTAGTTCATGCATTCATGACCTCGAGACTAGATTACTGTAATGCTTTATTAGCTGGTTGTCCTGCATCCTCAATAAACAAGCTACAGTTAGTGCAAAATGCAGCCGCTAGAGTTCTTACTAGATCAAGAAAATATGATCATATAACACCGATTTTATCATCTCTGCACTGGTTACCTATTAAGTTCCGTATCAATTACAAAGTACTACTACTGACCTATAAAGCCCTTAATGGTTTAGCTCCTATGTACTTAACGGACCTTCTTTCGCCCTACAATCCACCGCGTTCTCTAAGATCACTAAATTCAAGGCTTCTGGTCATTCCTAGGATATCGAAGTCCACGAAAGGAGGGAGGGCATTCTCGCATTTAGCTCCAAAACTCTGGAATAGCCTTCCCGATACGGTCCGATGCTCTGACTCGCTGACACAGTTTAAAACTAGACTAAAGACGTGTCTCTTTAGTCAAGCATTCACATAATGCTTACCTTTTAGTCCTCTGCTATGCCATACGGAACCGTTTGCCACTGAAACTGCTTAACGCACCAGTGGGGCTCGACAGCCTTATAGACAAACGGGTCGGTCCGTATGGTTGCGGAGAGTTTGGGTTACGGAGAGTTGTGAGATTATGGTTTTCTAACACCTACTCCCGTGTAATGGAAATCATTATGAACATCAGCTATGCTAATTATTTCCCATCTGCCTTTCTGCTGTTATCTCGGGACGCTTGTCCCGAGAAAAATGGCGTTCGTAGGCTCCAGTTTGGTATCCTGCCTCTCACGGGGATTTCGGATGCCTCAACGCCTGTGATGAGAAGACCAACGCCTGTGAAGAGACGACTCAACGCCTGCGAAGAGACGACTCAACGCCGGCGATATGTTATCCCCTAAATATTACATGATTAACTAAATGTATTTTTTCCAGGTACTCTCTGATATGGACTTACTGTAAAGCTATGATTGTTAGCCAGAGGAGAACTGGCCCCTGACTAGCCTGGGTTCTCCCAAGGTTTTTTTCTCCATCCAATCTGATGGAGTTTTGGTTCCTTGCCACTGTCGCCTTGCTTTTGGCTTGCTTAGTTGGGGATATTTAATATTCAACAATATTATTGAACTGTGTTGTACTACTTTCATGTTATCACTGTGAAGCTGCTTTGATGCAATCTGTATTGTGAAAAGCGCTATATAAATAAATGTGACTTGACTTGACTTGACCGTCCTGAAGCGCGTAATGCAGTAAATCAAGAGACTGCTCAGAGACTGACCGAGGAGCTGACAGCCTTTGACCAGGACAACAGCCTTAATGTGGCAGTGCTTTATGGAGTCGGTAAGTTCAGTTACACACTACTGTGACACACTGTGGAAAAAGTGGGCTGACTTTAGTTCAGTTTGATGGTCAGTGGAAAGAATGAAAGAATGTCATCTGTTTGAGCAGTAAAGCAAAGAATAGTTTATGAAGGCACTTTACCCCCATTTGTTTCAACTTTTGCTGTGAAATTTGTGTAGACTTTATGTAGCCCCACCCCTTTTCAGAGCGACCCTGTTTGTTTTCTGTCTTCCGGTTTGTATTTCCACAGCATGAAGGTAAGATCTTACGGATTTATGAATGAACCGCTCGTTTTAAAGTATTTTGTAAAGTCTACTGATATTTGTTATGACATCCGCTTCAAACATTACAATGCTCATGATAAATATATCCACTTCATCAGCTAATTACTTTTCGACAGCGATGCCATAGGGTGCGTCTCATTTAGCTCCCTAGCTCGTGAATCAGTATATCGGGTTCACGAATTCGGGCACTGGTAAGGATAGTAAGGATCCTGGCTCACTCACCACACATTGGGACACTGATGACTCTATTTCCGGCGACATGACAACGTCCTAATTGTATAACATCACAACTGGTTTTTATGTACAACAGCAGAGCTGATATCTTTCTGACATTACTTGTAATGTTATTTAAGTTACATTATGATAAATACTTCGCTTGTTACATATACGTGCAACATTTTAGCTGTAAATAACTTGTAAATATTAGTTAAATTATGTTCATTACCTGTCTAGCAATGAATGTTTATGCTGAAATAATAATAAAATAATGTTTTTATTTTATTTTTAAAAACATCTATCGCGTGTCATTGTGTAGTAGGTTGGCTCGCAAGATTTAAGTTTTGCGCTTCAGAACATCCGTTAAGGGAACATAGTGAACATCGATGCTGCCTGGTTTTCACGGTGCATTGTGGGACTTTTTAGGGTGCGAACGTTTTAGTGCACTGGAAGGATTCTGCGATTGAGACAGCACTTAAAATGGTTGACCCCCTGATCAGTGCCCTGACTACTGAACTAGGGAGCTGATTGAGACGCACCCATAGAAATATACAGAGATACCGCAAAAACTGAAGTTTAATGACCAAATTCTAAGGATGGCACATACGATCTAATGTAGATATTAAGTGCTTACTTGGTTATGTCTTAAGCATGCTAACATTGCCCTGAAATTTGCTGCCTTCATATACTAAAAGCCAAGTCTTTGACTGAGTGGGCAGCACATGGCTACAAGAGTCCTGTGTTATGTCAACGTCTGTGATGACAATATTTCCACATTGAAAACAATTTTCTCAGGCCATCAAATTGGACACCCTCAATAGAAATAATTTGTTCAACCTGGATCGACCATCCCTGCTCAAATTTCCTCAGTCACCTTTATCACGAGTTAAACGAGAGGTTTTGATTTCTCTTACTCTAAACCTGGATCCCAGCCAGAGGACCATCTGCAGGTGAACTGACCACAGCAGATAACATTACATAGACAACACATGCAAAGAATGTGTGATGACAGTAATTGCTTGAGTTTTGAAGAAGTGTCAAGAGTTAATGTTGGCCACACAAGAATTCCCTTATTTGTGTTAACATCTACTGTATCTCAAGACATTTAAATGAACATTAAAATGCAATTGAGCACATTACACAAACTGACTTACTGGTCTAGATTTTACAAGTCCATTAGGAAGCCATTAGGAAAATTGTGTCCATGGCATGTTCACATTTCAGCTAAATTATGAATAATTGCTGGTTCGAGCAATGATTTGTTCAAGTACACTGAAGGACTGTTTTAACTGGTAACATTTTACTGAAGTTTAAAATGACTTGTTATTAGCATGTGTTTCTCTGTGAAAAATAAGTGCGCTTAATTATTTTGAATGTGCATTTGTAGTACTTAAAATCTTTAAGGCATATTTAAAAAAAACTACTTGTCTTGCAGAAAATATAATATTAATAAAATAAAAGGGTAAGTGTACTTAAAGGGAGTACACTTTGCAGTGTAATTACACAAATAAGAACTGAGTTAACAACATGTACTTACTATTGAGTTAAGGGTTAGGATTTGGTATAGTGTTAGTACTTGTAATTATGAATAATTTACCATAGTAATACATGTAACAATGACACATTAAAATAAAGTGTTACTTAAAGTGAATATTTTTTAAATGCAACTTAATCATTACAAAGGTGTATGTAAATTTTTACATAATACATCACATTTAAATGCAAGTTTCAATAGAAATTACTTTAAAGTATACTTTAGTTTACCTTATCAGAACATTCGGCAGTACACTTTAACCATATTTGAAAACAACAGAAGTAATTATGAAATTAATATACTTGAGTCATACTTTAGAGGCTCAGCTAATTGCAATTAATATAAATTTAACCTATAATACATTTTCATTTAATTGAAATTAACATGCAGTGATGTGTCTGAAAACAGAACATTCAGTTTGTACTTAAAAAAAGTTCTTATTATCGAAATAATATACTTCAAATGATTAAGTATGCTAAAGTGTACTTCTTTTTCACAAGTGTTGCTTTGTCTTTACCAAAGTGTATGCCATCGCATTGGTCATTCTTTCTAATGTGTACGTTTCTTCAGTTTCTTTTCATATGTAATTTAGAACCTGAATACATGTCAAAATATTAATATAAGAATAGAGCATGTAGGCCTGAACACATGAAAGTGATACTCATGCTATTAAGTTATGTTACGCTGTCTGACTTTCATGGTTTAATCTGCTTTGTTGTATAATTGAGTTTGTTTGATTCAGGAGGGAATTTCTGTGCTGGATTTGATCTGAAGGAGTTGGCCCAGAGCTCTGGTTCCCTCAAACTGGAGCAAGATGTCCGCCGTGGTCCTGGTCCCATGGTACGGAGTGGTCCTTCTCAAATGCAGTATTGCATATTAATACTAAATGAGTCATATAATGCATTCCTTTTAATTCAGCTTGTAATATTATAACTAATGAATGTTTCTTGCAGCAAAAAATAGTTTGTCTGGGTGTAAACGAGATGGTTTATGACTTATATTTGAAAATGGGTTACACTTTTTTTCGATGGTCCACTTTAGACACTCTACTTACTACGTAACTTAGCAACAACATGTCAACTAACTCTCCTTAGAGTATTAGTAGGTTGTTGTAGACTTTGGGTTAGGTGTTAGGGTTCAGGTTAGAATAAGTTGACGTAGTTGCAAAGTCACTTGAATGTCTGTTGGGGGACAATCAAAAGAAAGTGTTTGTAGCAGATATTAAGCAGACAGTCTACTAATACTATCATGACTGGTAGTTGACATGTAGTTGCAAAGTTGCTTTTAGTAAGTAGAATGACTGAAAACAAGCTTTGCCTGACCATCTTCTTAACTTGTAAAATGAGTAACGTGTCACATGAGCGATAGAGACCATCGACAACTATCAAGAGTAGTGCAGACTGAAACTCGCGCAATCTTCTGAACCATGTGGAAACACCTACTAGTAAAAGCTAGTTAGCAGCTTCTGATGATTAAAAACTGTCACTGTAAATGTCCTTCATAGTGGAGGGTTGAGTCTATAAACCTATCCACCTTATTCCTGACGAGCTTACTGCGTTTTGAATTATGGGTGGCACTTCCGGTTTGGGGAACTTCCATTCAAAAAGGCTAAAACTAATCATTTCAAATCATAAGGTTACCCTACAAATAAAGCTGATCAGTCAATTTTCCTTCATGATTTATTTTCAGACATCATGAGAATAACGTTATACTTGGTATTTTAACGTGACATGTTATAACAAGAATATCTATGGCAAGAGCTCTTTTCAGTTGCTGCTTTCTTTTCCTCATGATGATTTTTATTTTTTCCTTTGCAATCCGCTGTAAAAGCATGAAAAAGGACAACATATACGGCACATTTGTGGTCTGTTCTCCCGAATTTAATTTACGATATTCCCTTAATAATTCACTGGAATGCACGAAGAATCTCTCGTTATTCTCCTTAAATCCTCACGTCTCTTTCCAGGTTTGTTTTCACAGGTAAATGCAATTTATAATCTGTCAAAATGACGGAAATCACTTTGATATAGTGTCACGTAATGCTGAAGTTAATGAACATTTTTGATTAGGCTTGTTATACAATACAGATATATATTTACAGTGATATTTAACGAAAGACTCGCGCTTTTGGGGCTATTTTTGGTCTGTTGAAAGTACTTTGTTGATTCTTTTAAACTTTTAAATTTTATTTTAATGTTCGATGGTTGAAGCGTGAGTCGAATAATGTCACTTTTTTAACGTATTGCGTTCATAGAGCGAGCCTTTCACTGATTGTTTAAAGCTTAACGGAAGTTACACCCATAATTCGCGCAAAGCGTCATGGGGCGCAGGAATAGTGTGGATTGGTTTGCAGGATATTTAGAACAGAAATAAACCGATATGTGTTGTTTGCTGTAGGGTCCGTCTCGGATGAGGCTCTCAAAACCCTTGATCGCAGCAGTCAGTGGGTACGCTGTGGCTGGAGGTCTGGAGCTGGCCCTGCTGGCTGACCTGAGGGTGGTGGAGGAGAGCTCCATCATGGGCGTTTTCTGCCGCAGATTTGGTAGGTATTGTTGTCTGTTATTTCACATTAAGGTGTTATTTTGCTTAAAGGGATACTCCACTTTTTTTGGAAATAGGCTCATTTTACAACTCCCCCAGAGTAAAAAAGTTTTACCGTTTTTGAATCCATTCAGCCGATCTCCGGTTCTGGCGGTACCACTTTTAGCATAGCTTAGCATACATCATTGAAGTGGACAAGTTTTTCGATATTTTTCCTATTTAAAACTCGACTCTTCTGTAGTTACATCGTTACATCGTAACTACAGTTACATAGGAAAAATATCGGAACTCTTTGGTCATTTTTTTTTTTGAGAAATGCTAATGGTCTTGTCCACTTCAATGATGTATGCTAAGCTATGCTAAAAGTGGTACAGCCAGAACCGGAGATCGGCTGAATGGATTCAAAAACGGTAAAACTCAACAGTTTAACTTTGGGGGAGTTGTAAAATGAGCCTATTTCCAAAAAAAGTGGAGTATCCCTTTAAGGTTGAGGTAGTCATATCTAACGGAATTGCTCTGTTTATTAACTGCATTAAGCCTCAATATATGAGTTTTTTTAAAACAAAAATGATTATTATTTACAATAACAAGAAAGCATCATGGTAAAACCATGTTTTTTATTTGGACCAGCACTATAGTGATATATACCATGGTACTAAATTGGAGTGTAGAAGATGTATAGTTTAACAATGTTAAAGCTGGTGTTATTGAGTAAGCCACTCACTTTGCAAACAAACAATATAAAAAACTCGCTTCGAGAGTGCCCGCTTACAATGCAGTTTGAATGACCCCAAAATTCGATATAGCGCAAAAATGCCCATGGTTTAGTTACTGTGATTATGTTGTTTTTCACAAATCTCAGTACAATTGCAAATGTGATATTGATTTTATACAGCATTTCAATAATCAAGAAGCTAATATTGTGAGATACATTTTAAACACATTATTGTCTGATTTTGCTCTATTTTGCCAATGAAAATACAAAAATCATTTTATAATTCAACATTCAAAAAGGATTAAATCACTGCACTATACCTACTCAGGGTGTGTAGATCCATGAAAACTGAAGTTTTTTTTTCTCCGTTCCTTTCCGCCCCCCCAAAAAACAGAGAAATCTGCACTACTTTTTCTTATTGTTTAATTTGTCATTATCCAGCACAGCACATACAATGCAGACGTTTCGGACAATATTTAAGATTTTATTTTTAACAGCATTATTTATGCAATTGCAGTGGAAATACAACCCCATTTCCAGAAAAGTTGGGACATTTTGTAAAATGCAATAAAATCAAGAATCTGTGATTTTGTTAATTCTCTTTAACCTTTATTTAACTGACAAAAGTATAAAGAAAATATTCTCAAATTTCTCAAAGTTTTCACTGACCAACTTAAGTGTATTGGTAACACTTTATAATAACTGCACACTATTAATCATTAGTTAAGCATGAGTAAACAGTTAATTCATCATTTATAAAGCATTAATAGAAATTAATAAGCAGTTATAAATACAGCTATAAATGCTTTTTTCTTGATTTATAAGCATATCTATCATGTGTTTAATAATTGTATTTTCATACTTTGTTACTGATCAATTAATAATTTCTAAATGAAGTATTGTATTATTTATAAACCAGTTATTTAAGAGTTGTCAGTGATTCATAAGATCACTTAGAAAGTGTAAGTAAATGTAGTAAATTCAGGTAGTTATAAAGCATTTAGTAGTGGTCAGTTAACTATTTTTCTGAGTTCATCTAAAGTGAGGACTATTCATGCCTTGTAAAGCATTTTTAAAGGAGATTTAAAGACTCATTTATCTTCTAAACAGAAAAATGAAACAAACACAACACAGTGATACAAAACATCGAAATATTTAAAAGCCTTTAAATCTCCTTTGTAAATGCTTTACAACGCATAACTAGTCCTCACTTTAGATGAGCTCACAAAATAGTTAACTAACCACTACTAAATGCTTTATAACTACCTGAATTAACCCTGAATTACAGTACAAATACATGTTAATAAAGCACTTACTAACACACTAAGTAACTATTACTATATGTCTGAATAATAAGATGTATGAATGTACATTTAAAGTTTATTAATCATTTACTTACACTTTCTAAGTAATCTTATGAACTACTGACAACTCTTAAATAACTGGTTTATAAATAATGCAATACTTCATTTAGATATGATAAATTGATCATTAATAAAGTATGAAAATACAATTATTAAACACATTATAAATATGCATTTAAATTAAGAATAAAGCATTTATAGCTGTATTTATAAACTGCTTATTAATGTCTATTAATGCTTTATAAATGATGAATTAACTGTTGATTAATGCTTAACTAATGATTAATAGCGTGCAGTTATTATAAAGTGTTACCAAAATGTATTTAGTAAATATAAACCGATTTTGATGGCTGTAGCACACCAAAAAAGTTGGGACAGAGGCATGTTGTCACTGTGTGACAAACATCACCTTTCCTTTTAATTACACTTTTTAATCCTTTGGGAATTGAGGACACTACTTGTTGCAGTTTTTCAAGTGGAATATTTTTTCTGAAACAAGACTGCTGCTCAACAGTCTGTGGTCGCACTGTCCAATTCTCCTTTTCATGATGGGTCATGCATTTTCAATAAAAGACAGATATGGACTGGAGGCAGGCACATCGCTTCTATGGTGCAGAGTGTCTAGAAACCACTCAGTTTTAGCATGTGCAGAATGAGGCCTGGCATCGTCTTGCTTCCTGTCATCTTGATGCCATTAAATGTTTCTGTACAATCCCAGTATATGCCTCCATGTCAATGGTACCTTCAGACAAATGCAAGTCACTCATGCAGTTTGCACTGATGCACCCCAATACCAGGACAGATGTTTGCTTTTGCACCTGTCACTGATGAAAGTCTGGATGGCCCCTTTCGTCTTTGGGACTGAGAACTCGATGTCTGTTTTTCCCAAAAACAAGCAGAAACATGGACTCATCTGACCACAGCACACATTTCCACTGTCTTCTAGACCATCTGAGATGAGCTCGGGTCAGAGAACTCGCCGGCTTCTCTGCATAGAACTGATGTATAGCTTTCTCCTTGCATAACATAGATTCAAGTGGCATTTCTTGATGCAATGTCAGACTGTGTTCAGTGAAAATGGTTTTTCAAAGTACTCTTGAGCACATGTGGCTGTATTTAATAGAGTAGCATGATGGTTTCTCATGCAATGCCGTCGGAGGGCTCAAAGGTCACGCACATTCAACAGAAGTCTCCTGCCTTACCCTACACAGACTGAGATTTCTCTGGATTCCCTGAATCTTTCCACAATATTTGTTTATGGTAAATGGTGAAACATAAATTCTTTGCAATCTTGCATATAGAAATGTGATTTATGAATTGTTTGACAATTCTCTCATGATATTTGCCATGACCCATCTTTGCTTACAAAAAAAAAGATATGTTCCTTTTACACTAAATCATGAGACTCTCACCTATTACCAGTTCACCTGCTCATTGTGGACTGTTTCAAAAGAGTTTAAATGAGATATTCTGTAAGCTTTTCACTTTTATTTCGCCTCTGTCCCAACTTTTTTGGAGTGTGTTGCAGCCATCAAAATTTAAAATGTGTTTCTATTTACAAAACACACTTAAGTTGGTCAGTGGAAACTTTGAAAATCTTTTCTTTGTACATTTGTCAGTTAAATAAAGGTCTTGATTTTATTGCATTTTACAAAACGTCCCAACTTTTCTGGAAACGGGGTTGTACATATACATGGTGTTTTAGATGCACCTTCGCACACACTTATGCACACACTTATGCGGTGCAAAAATAGATTTTGTTACATTTGATTGAATGTAATAAGTAAGAATATGGTGTCTTATTCTAATTGATTTTTTTATTTATTTAAGGTAAGCATTTGACATATAAGATGATGCAGAAATCTAGCAAGGTTAGAAAAAATTGCCCTTATAAAGGTAAATTTGAGGTGGCAAATATCGCCCCTTAATTAAAAAAGTAACCACCACACAGATTATGAAGAATATTAAAAGTTTGAGAGTCACCTGTCCACGACGGGCCTAAACCAGCCAATGAACAAGCACAGAGACACATTCAGTGAAGTACTGTCTAATTATCATTACTGACAAAATTCCAGAAAATATTGATATATAATTTTTTGTCAATATTACCCCCCCAGTACTAAATGATTAGCATATTCATGAAGCTTGATATATGATACATTACTGTACAGTGGTCCCAGCAGAGTACTGTTTTGACGTCTACTGAATACTGTAAATGGCTCTGTTACGATGGATAAAATGTCAATTTCAACCCCAAAAATGTTGGTAAATTAAATCCTGGGACGCAAAAATATTGCAGACAGACTAGAAACTACCTAGAAAGAGAAATTTGATGCAGTTTAATTCCGAGTGTACTAGTTTCTCCATGCTACAGATACAGTATGACCACAGTGTGTATAAATATGCCAGCAGTGCTATAATTTACTGCCAGGAACTGATTTTTCCAGCTGCTCGTTTAAAACTTAGAGCCATCATCATGACCCTCTCTCTTTCATTAAACCAAGCATCCGGGCATTGCCCGCATGTGCCTGTGAACCCGTTCCTCAGACTGTCTGCCTCTACTGCACTCGTGCCACCCAGGAAGACGTGACGACTGCTGTCTAGAAGTCTTTAATGGTACTCTACAGTAATTATTAGTGAAAATTGATGATTTTGACATGACATAGAGCGGTGATATCTAAGTGGGTGAGGTGTTTGCTTACTTTTTAATTAGTCTTCCCATTAACGCCATCATTTTGTTCATTCAGGCTGATTCGCGAACCTGCACGAAAAAAAGAGGCAGGTTTTATTGCGCGAACCTATATAAAAAGACTCAAACCAACACATCCTAACCTGTGAAAGGTTGTCCCATTTCTTTAGGAATTTAAATCTCTGCAATCAACCAGAAGCTGCACCATGTTGTGGCATCTGGAAAACTCATTG